TCATTGTCTGCCATTTTTTTTTGCATTATTTTTGTGGCCTCCAGCCAAAAATGTAAGAGCTGAAAGAATATTTTTTGTATTGTTTTGTTTTTGTAGAATTGCCACTTTATACTAGGCGGGAAAAGTGGATCCAGAGTGTAGAAGTGTGGAGTGTGGAGATATGAGTCTGTTTCGGGACATTTTAGTCGGTTGTCCGGCCTTTGTTGCTGCTCCTGGTCGAATTCTCACGCGGCCGGCATGAAAACTTATGTCGGCGGCCTTTGGGCGCAATTATTTATACATGCCTCATAAAAATCCCAAGACAATGGGACCCCAGACTGTGACTCGAGTCCCAGACCCTAGACCAAACAACTTCTTCTTCTCCGTCTTAGGCCTAACATTGCAGTCTCTGGACTCCTTTTGTTTTCTTCAATGTTGCAACTAGTTGTTGTTGTCGATGGTTGCTCTTGGGGCATTTTCTTTAAGAAGAGGTGAGTGGATGCTATGTGAATGCAATCGTTCCTGATAAATATGTTGATATTACCAAAAGCAGTTTCATTATGTATTGGACGTTGGTGTTAGGAGGGAGAAGCTAGCCAAAGATAGAATGTACTTATAATAGGGTGTCAGTGAAGGACAATTACACAACGAATTGGCTCGCTCGATGCTTGAGAGAAGTACTACATAAGATTATTGATAAGCTTCCCAATTTCAAAACAATTTTAAAGACATTTCCAGTCATTAAAATTAATCAAGTTATAGCTTTTTGGAAAACCTGAAATGTACACATTCGAAACCAGAAAAACCATTCTTCTTATTTTTCTCGACTCTAACACTTACACATAAAATTTGCTGTTCAATGAAATAATAGTGATTATTACGAGCTGATTATGTTGGATTTTAGCTAACATTTCTTGGAACACTTGCCCTCACTTTGCTCTGGTTATCGGAATTCCAGTTATTATAATGTATTTGACATTCCCAGATAAGATTTCGATGACAATTAGATCCTGGGACTGAGATTTTTGGGTCTTTCAGATCATTATCTTGTTCAAAGATCCTTCTTAGAGGTATTTTTCAGCTGGAATATGAATTTAATGTATGAAAAAGTACTCCGGCCCACACAATTTTGTGAAATGTTTTGAAGCTTCAGTCGTGCACCCCTTTACCCGTAGCGTGGCTTTCTGGTATTTTAATAAGTAAAATAATGTTTAATCAGACGTATACGAACTGTCATAGCACCTTCAGAGCGATAAAGAAATGTTTTGAAAACTTTTGATTTTGAGACCATCTTCGAAAATAAGTTTCTCGCATAAAAAATCACTTTTCAGGGTCTTAGTTGAAACGGTTAAATATAATACCAAGAACACAATCAAGATCATTTTCAATTCCATTATACCACCTGACTTTGATTTTTAGTCTTATTCTTATTTTTATACCCGGTACTCGAAGAGTAAATAGAGTATTTTGTGTAATTGTGTATATTGTATTTGTGTAAATAACGGTTGTATGTAAGGCACAGAAGGAAGCGTTTCCGGCCCCATAAAGTATATATATTCTTGATCAGCATCAATAGCCGAGTGGATAGACCCATGTCTGTCTGTCCTTCTGTCCGTCTGTCCGTATTGTTTGTAGGCTAGTTCTCAGAGACTATAAGAGCTATAGCCACCAAATTTTGGTTCCGAACTGCTGTATGCTCACACTGAAACCAGTGTATTTCAAAAAGGGCGAAAACCTCCCAAACCTACTGTTTTGAAGATAAAAGAAAACTAAAAACGCCATTCCGTTGGGAATGACCATTTATATCAGATCACCAAATTGGGATCCGATTGCTCATTATTATAGCCAGAATGAAGAAATTAATTTCCAGTGGCTAAACCCACCCTGTCCCGTATCTTTTGTGGTTCTTTTTACATTATCTCATTCACACTCTGCTTCTACTTCACTCGGCCTCTGCCTCTGCCCTTCCCGTGCCGACGCCTCTGACGACTTTCAACCCACTCCGTCCCGCAGCTTATATATGTTTTTTTTTTTGTGTGCGGGCGCTGCCTCTGCCTCTGCCGCGAGTCTGCAGTATGTGGGTCTAGGGAAGGGCGGCGAGCTAAAGGAGCGTGTTGGTGTGAGTAGTGTTGTTGATGTAGATGACAGATGAAGAAAATATGTAAAATTTGACAAATAAGCACTGAGGTGCAGATGTTGTACTGAGTGCCGGGTATACAAGTTGTGACGCGTAAGAAGCGTCTCACACGTCCCTTCTCGTTCTCCTTCTAATCCGATCAATAATTTCTGCAACGCACTTGAAACAAAAGTACCGCTATGTTCAGAATTTCTTTCATGAAAATATTCACCATATAAATTAAGCTTACTGATGGTGACTTTTTTTAATGGATTTGCTTTGATTAAATATGTTTTTGCACCCAGCACTTCTATTTTATTGAACAGCAGATTTCATGGGTATTCGACTAGAGTCATAAAAAACAAGAAGATGAAACGCAAACGTAACGAAGGGTCTCAAAAATAGTTGTGAAAGTGATGATGAAATTGATGAAAGGCACTACTATTTTATTGAACCTAATTTATGTATGTATGTATGTACACTTTCTCAAACCATACATATTTAGTTTTTAAAGGAACACTTCCACTACTTTAAGACGTTAATATCGTTAAATTCAAAATGCCATTCTGATGACGATTTAATACCCTCCGTTGAGAAGTCCTTAAGGTTACTTAGTTGGATTTACCCAATTGTCTCTTCCGTTCTCTTATTCCCCACTATATCTTTGTCTTGCCCATACCAATCCCTCAAAATGGGTTCGTTAAAATTAAAATTTCCAACGCTGACTTGGCTGTAGGAAGCTTAAGCTTGAAGGATAATTTCAGATAAATGCGGCTACTTCCATGGGCTTCTCCAAGGAGAAACAAAGCTGCGGGCAATTTAGAGGAGTACTCAGCCCCAGCCCCAGCTTCACCCTCTTTCTCTTCGCCAGCTTCATGTTATTGTTGCGGATCTGTTGCTTTATGCGTCTCAAATATGCGTAAATATTGTTCCCCCAGCATTCAGCTGGCTCCGTGTCTTCCGTCCGCCCTTGCTTAACATTACCATTGGCTCCTGCAGTCCCTTTTGCTCTCTCCCTTGGAGGAAAAAACGCAATTTGCGTCGCTAACCTAACGATGATTGCCGAAAACGATGAGTGGATAGACGTTGAGGGGGTGGGGGGGGGGGGGGGAGTATCTGAAATTTTTAATGGGAATTTGAAATAAGGCCCAGTACCCAGGCAGGCCCTAGGACGAGTGCGAATACCAATACGGCAGACTGGGGCAGACAACACTTTTGGTGGAGGTTGCTCTTTGACAGAGAGACTGACGACGGCTTCTGTTGCTCTGTTTCCTCTCAGTATCATCCGGAAGGGCGTCTTGGGCATGGGCAGGGTGAGGACCTGCAGTGTCTGTCAGTCAGAGTTGGAACGTCTAGTTTATATCTAAAAATGGAATAGAAAAAGTACAAAAAGTTCAGATTCAATAACATTCTGCTCGTGTTACTAATTATTATATGTTTATGTCAATTGGATTTGCCTTTGGTCTTAGCATACATAATAGCAGACCTTGCAGGGTATCTCCAGTCTTGATTACTTCTTGATTAGCCTCTCTCTTCCTCTCATCAATTGGGCTCGCTAGCCAGACGCCAGCCTGCCTGTCTGCGTGTGTGTGTGTGCTATCTAAAATTCAAATCTCCTGCGGTTTACAATGCGTCAGAACAGAACGAACTCCACTCTTATCTCGCTGTCTCTCGCTCACTCTCTCTTACTCTGTCTGTCCCGCTCACTTCCACAGAACGTGGCTTGGGGCGGCGTCTGCCGTTTTTGCTGTTGTTCGTCCGTTTGCATTGTTGCCACACTTCGTAATGCAATTTTTTGGGGGTTGATTCTTCTTCAGTTGTTTTGAGTTCAAGGTTGAGTCGGGTCCCCTGTTTCTGGCAAACCTCATTAGCTGCAGTTATTGCGATGAGATTTTAACCGACGGCTTCAATAGTATTCCCTGTTGACGTTCTCTTATGATTTTACCCTGTAGATGGCAAATTTATCTTTTCTAATATTTTTCAAAATCTTTGCCACAATATATCGTTACTTCTGGTACTCGTACTCTGGTACCCGAAGAGTAAATAGGGTATACTTTATTTGTGGGGAGAAGTGGACGTACATATGTATGTAAATGTAAATTTCCGACCCCATAAAGTATATATGTACATATATTCTTGATCAGCATTACTAGCTGAGTCGATAGAGCCATGTTTGTCTGTCCGTCTGTCCGTCTTGTTAGTATAGGATAGTTCTCAGGGACTATAAGAGCTAGAGCTCTTAGCCGAATTTTGCCTCCAGACTGCTGTATGCTCACACTGATGTAAAATTCATTTTAGTTCATTTCAAAAATTAGCCCCGCAAGGTTCTAAAATCTTCCACAACTGATCTTTGATCAGTTTGGATCAATATTACAGCCAGAATGAAGAAATTAACGTGATGTGGCTAAACCCACCCCGTCCCGCAGCTTTTTTTTTTGTTTTTTGTACATTCTCTCACCCACATTCTGCTTCAGGCAGTGTGCGGCTCTAGAGGAGGATATGTAGAAAATATTTCAAATGTAAAATTTGAACAAAAAACCACTAAGGTATACAAGTTGTGACGCGTAAGAAACGTCTTACATGTCCCTTCTCGTTAAACATATACATACATATGTATGTATGTATGTATGTATCTTTACATTTATCCTTAATGTATGCATCCTTTAAGCTGTGTACATATCCTCTGTCCTCATTACATTAGCCCACTCCACAGACCACATTCATATTCGTTTCCCATAAGTCTCCTCCTTTAATCCCCTTTAATTACAACCCACAATCCCATTTTGCCCACATTTAATTAAGCCTTATTAATTAATCGCTGCCAGCAAATGAATTTCCCTTTTTGTAGGCTTCCCTTTGCGCCTATAGCAATTTACTCATTTGTTTCTCCTTTAATTCTCTGCAGGATCTCCACGACTGCGGAGCCCCATGCCACGCCATGTTCTTTCCAGAGCGAGAGCGGACAGTTCTCCGCTACTGGGTGGGATCCTGGGCGGCGGTTTGCGTAGCGAGCTGTCTCTTCACAGTAAGTTTTTCATTCAATTTTATCGTTAAATATTAAATCGTAAAGAATTGCTCGTAAGGCCCTTGGACCATTTCCATTCTCATTTCGCTGCCACCTTTGTTATCCTTCGCTGAGTGCTGCCATATTTTCTTTAAGTAGAGCTCAAAGCAAACATCTTTTCCAAGCGAAACGACTGAATCCTGCTGCTCCTCCAGCAAGTCTATTATAAAGGGGGACGGGGAGGGGACAGCGAGGGTTAGAATGGCAGGACGAGGTCGTTTGGCACTTTGGCAAATCCCACGCTTTGACATATTACCTGTCAGTGCATATTTTTCAATAAACTTGGCAAAACATATGCAGAAGCCACCCCACCCTCGCACATCCCTCTCAGAGCACCCTGCGGCGCTCCTTGTAAAGAGGATGCCACCTTGATGGCGAAGGGGAAGGAGCACAACAGAATGGCGGACGGGGTGGAGCTGTAGCTTGCCTTGGTATCTGAATGTATCCATAGATGGAAAGACAAATACCAGAGAACAAAAGTAAATTTCAAATATTATTAGACTTGCGCTTTGATATTCCGGAATGTCCTCACATGCCTCAATGTGTCTCATTCCTTTGACTCGGAGAAATGAATGAATGCCTCAAGCATGGATGAGCTCTAAACTAATATTGGAAATAGTTTTTGCATTGTAATACTTGGAGTTTCATTCTCTCTGTTGTGTGCCTGAAGAGAGAAGATGAATTCGGAAAGGGAACGGTAGAAAATGATTAAAGCCTTACAGAGGATTAAAAGTGTGAGGAAATTAAAGTATTATTATTTCGCTTTGGATGCAATTTTATTTGAAATAACGAATATAAAGGAATAATTATGGTCAAAGTAAAAAAAATTCTTCGAATATTTCACAACTTCTTCAATGTTCTGGCAACTCAATTCCAGAGGAAACCATTTACCATAAAATATCCATTTATTTCAAACCGCTTAAACAATATTTATGCTACTACCCTTGCGTATCGTTTCGCTTAATCATATCCAATAACGATAAATCAATCAACTTTGTTGTCTAATTATCTCGTCTGGTAGCGCTGGAACTATTCATCATGTGAAAGACCCTGCGAAGGACTCTCTCTTCCTTCCTCCACTCTCGATCCCTCTCTTTCTCTTGTCTGTCACTTAGCTTGAGTATATGGAAATCAATTTGTTAGTCAAGGATTTTCCCATTGCACAAACCATGCCATAATATTTGTTACCTTTTTTTGCTAATATCAATCATGTTGAAAAAAGAGCATATGTTGGACTAAAAAATCAATTTAGCTGGAGCAGGTTCATGACAGTTCCTTTAAATAAGAAGCAACAAAAATGGAACCATAATGCTGACCGAACCTGGTCCAATGCTTGTAATTTCCAAGTAATCATTCGGAAGGACGATGGGATGAGTAGAGGTAGTTATAGGATGGGACAAGGGCCAAAAAAGAACATCTATCAAAGCGGGAAAGGTCCCAGGTCCCAGCTCTCAGCTTCCGGGGACTCTGAGTGACACACACACGTCATAAAGTTGTGCTACATCCATCAAGCCCTGCAGAGTCTAGGGGCGGGCCACCCCGTGGAGGACAGTGTCTCTCACATGTCGACATATTTTTGCATGCTGTCTCTGGTTTTTTCTCGCCCTCTCGCCCCTTTCCGTATGTCCCTTCGTGTCTGCGATACATTTTTGTCATTGCATATAATTTGTCGCCCATTGTCAGCGCCAGTTCCTGCCCACGCCATGCGAGGGCGGGGCATATCAGTGCAATCCAGAAGAAGAACAACAACAACATCCACAACAAATTCTATGCAAATTTCAAAATTGTTTTTCCAAACAGGAGAAAGAACGGGAGAGATGTTTTTCATTTGCCGGCTCATTCTACTTACTTTTTACGATTATGATTATGCTCTCTCCGAGTGTTCATCCCATTTACATTCTCATTCGTCGTATATTTATTTTTCCAGGGTGAACATTTTGCATTTTTCAGCTGGAGCTGAGTTCATGCAAATTTTCTCCATGCTTTCCCATTTCTTTTTCCTTATTCGCTGTTATTTAGTCAACTGCAGCATTTCCACTGATTTGACTATTTTTAGGTTTATTTTTTTTATTGATTTACTCATTGATTCTAATACATAAAAATCATTGCATCTGAAATTATTTCTAGAGTTCTGCATTTTATGAGACTAAATCAAAAACTTAAGGATCATCAAACAATATTTCACTTTTATTTTTATCACAACTGCAAATATTCGATCTCTGGTGTCAGTGCAGAAATAGTTACGTATTCTCTATACCCTAGTAGCAACCCTAAGTTTGTCCCTAAATTCCCTTCATGGAAAACCGCAAATCTTCCGGCCCAGCTCCCATATGCCAAATGCACATGGGAATGGTTTTCATTTTGCTTCTTCCTCCGTTGCCATTATCCAGCTTATAGTTTCCCATGCTTATATTTTTGACGCCCCTGCGAATTGTACTCAATACATCTCAATAAAGTCCCCATGACATGTGGGCTATGTTTGTATGGCTGTTTGTTGATTTTAATAAACTTTCTCTCTCCCTCTCTATATGTGGTATGTGTGTAGATAAAAACTGCAATGCCACAGAAATATGTCAATGAAAATGGCAATAGTAAAATATACATGACAAGAGAGAGCATTAGAAAATTGCAGTTGAAGCTTATGAGGATAAAAAAAATGTATGTACAGTATGTATGTATGTATGTATATATGTATATATTGTATGTACGTGGTTGATGGGTGAAAAAATACAGGAAAAAGTATGCAGATGATTGTTTGACTTTGTACTTGAAATACTTCACATTTATTTAGATTCAGCTGTGACATTTCTGGGAATTTAGTTTTCAATGAATAAAGTGCTCAAATAATTGAATGGAATGAGTAGAGTAAAGAAATTTCTAAAATTGATTCACCTCTCAGTGGAAATTTTGGAAAGCAAATATGCAAAATATGTAGGGGAAAAACTTTTAAAATAAAATAGCAGCAAAATATACACATTTAAATTTAATTTGATTTAATTTAAATTTGTTTGAGCATAGAGTTCCTTGAGACAACTTTAAGCCAACCAGGGAAACAGCTTTCTCCTTCCAGCACCCCAGCATTGTATTTATTCCCCAACCAATTTGCTCTGACAGCTCGAACTTTTGGCCAACTTACAGATACTAACCCGGGGAAAACCTTAGGGCTTTTCATTTTCACTATCAACTACATTTATAAGTAAACAAATTTTATTTCAATTTTCGCGAAACTAAAACTAAACCAAATATTTTTGCACCCGAAACTTCTGTCTCAAGCTGTGAGCTCAGAATGGCTCAAACAGGTAAAAGTGTCAGGAAATTTCTGAAGGGAAAACTTACTGCCATGCGGCGACGGGTGAGGTTACATAGGGTCTAGAAGGGAGTGGGGGAGGGGTGGGAAGGGGAGTGTGTCACATCAACTGTCAACAATCAACACCTTTTTCATTAAACGCGTTAGATGAGATGAGACAATGACTCTGCCTGACTCGCAGAGTGTGCCTCTCTATCTCTCTCTGACTTGACATTTGTTTTGAAATGACAATGTGTGTGTGTTTGGGTGAAGGAAAATGGCTTGATATCTGAAAGCGGGAGAAAACTGGCAGCCTGGTGGGGGGTGGGTGCAGAACAGCAAATAAACATGGAGGATGTTCGTTTGTCATGTCGTTTGTTGCTGACTTGGATAACTTTTCCTTAATTACAAAAACCTGAGCAGGGGAACTAAAATGGAAACCAGAAAACTGCGACTAGTACTGAGAGCGCGCGACACGGGGATCTGAGTGTTCAGTAAGGCGCATATTTGAATAGGTAAACGTGGATGTATCTGTTTGATACCTGGAAAGGTGAGACCAATGAAACTATCCGAGTGCTGCATAGAAGGAATCTTTTGAGATATCTACAGTGCATACGGTGGCTTTAATTATGCTTAATGGTTTACTCTAAATATCACTTATCACTAAATGTAACATCCCAAGGAAATATCTATATCCCCGCTAGAACATAATTAAAATACTCTCTTTTTGTGATGTGACATTTTGTTTGCTTAGATTTTATATATTCCAGATTTGATTGATTTCGTAGTATTCTCTGGAATCCCACAAGCACACATGCGAGTAATGGAGAGCTTCGACCTTAACTCAGATCATTCTCCAATAATAGCAACTTACAGCACAATAGCCCATATATTGGAAAAGCCCTATAAAGTAATAACAGCCTCTACAGACATTAACGCATTTAAAAGCCATTTAGACTCAGCTATAAGCCTGGACATTTCGTTAAAAACAAGAGAGGAGATAGACTATGCTGTGGAGCTTTTTACAAATACAATTCATAATGCGAGCTACAGAAACACGCATCATGCTCTTAATCATCAACAACCAAATCAATTGTACCTTTCAAACGAACTTCGACAAAAAATACAAAATAAAAGGAATCTGCGAAAACGCTGGCAAGAAACTCACTACCCTGCTGACAAAAGATTGTACAACAAGGCTGCATCTGAGCTTAGACACCTGCTGTCGAACTTACGCAATGAATCTCTAGCTGCGTATCTGAGAAACTTAGACCCTAATTCAAGCAACAATGAATACAACCTATGGAGGGCGACTAAATACCTAAAGAAACCAGCTAAAAGAAACATAAATATTCGCAAAAACAACGGAACTTGGTGTAGGTCTAATAATGAACAAGCGGAAGCATTTGCACAACATCTGCACTCTGTGTTTCAGCCAAACGATATAAATAATTATACAACAGAGACTGAAGTAGAAAAATTCCTTGAGTCACCCTGCCAAATGAGCTTGCCTATTAAAAGCATTAAGTATGAAGAAGTTGTGACAGAAATCAAATGCTTGAACAATAAAAAATCACCAGGCCCTGATAAAATAGACGGTATCACCCTAAAAAGTTTACCACCAAAATGCATTCGGTTTTGTCACTCTTATATATAACGCGATTCTCAGACTAGACCACTTTACAAGTCAATGGAAATGTGCAGAGATCGTTATGATCCTAAAGCCATACAAAATAGAAACGGAATTGACATCATACCGTCCCATTAGTCTGTTGACAATTTTCTCGAAAGTGTTTGAAAAAATACTATTGAAGAGATTGTTGCCAATTTTTGACGAACTTTCCATCACCCCTGAGCAATGTCACAGGGTTATTAATGATATAGTTTCGGCATTTGAAAACAAAATATACTGCACTGCTGCATTCCTCGATGTTTAACAAGCGTTCGAGCGAGTCTGGCACAAAGGTTTGTTATACAAGATAAAGAAATGGCTACCTGCTCCGTACTATTTATTAATCAAATAATATCTGGCTAAAAGATGCTTTTACGTGCAGCAAAAAACCGATACTTCATCACTACTTCTCATCAACGCAGGCGTCCCACAAGGAAGGGTATTGGGACCAATTCTCTACACCCCATATACGGCCGACATGCCAGTTACAAACAACTGCACTGTTGCAACATATGCTGATGATACGGCCGTTTTAGCCACAAGCACATCTATAAATGAAGCTTCTGAACTCCTGCAGAGTGAGCTAAGCCTAATTGAAGACTGGTTCCTTCGATGGAAAATTAGAATCAAATCCCTGAAATCCGTCCAAATAACGTTTTCATTAAGAAGTTAAGGTAACTGCCCAAATGTTACACTTAACGGCTCACCAATTCCACAAAGTACCTGTGTGAAGTATCTCGGCTTGCATCTCGACCGCAGATTAACATGGAACAACCACATTAAAGCAAAAAGTCAACAACTTAGACTTAAAAAACTAAAAATGTCCTGGTTGATAAGTCGAATATCAGAAACCACTTTGGAAAACAAAATTCGCCTCTACAAATCCATGCTGAAGCCTGTTTGGACCTACGCTATACAGCTCTGGGGGACTGCTAGCAACTCAAATATTGAAATACTTCAGCGTTACCAATCAAAAACTTTGCGACACATTGTCAATGCTCCGTTTTACGTATCTAATGCAAATAACCACAAAGATCTTAATATTTCAACCATTAAAGAAGAAATAAAGAAAACTAGTAAGAAATACATCGACAGACTCCACAACCATGAAAATAATTTAGCCTTAAGTCTATTAGAGAATAGCTTAACAGTAAGAAGACTGAAAAGATCCCACATTCTCGATCTCCCCGATAGATAAATCCAGCAAACTGAAAAGATGTTATATATAATAGCAGGGCTCATTGGAAAACTGCTATTTCTGTTAATTGAATATTAATTATACAATTTACTTATTGTTTAAACAAACAGATTGTAAAAATAGGGAGAGAAAAAAAATAAATAAAAAATTTATATTAAAACAATTAATAATTATTAAATAGGCAGGTGCTCGTAATTTTTTATCATTGAAATGTATATTCTATAAACGTCAGAGCTGACAGGGACAGCTAACACAGCGAAACCTCAAAAACGTACCACAAATTTATGCCGCAACCTGACTGAAATGCTTATGTTAATAGTTAGTTGTTCTAATAGACGATCCATTCCACCCTCTAGACCGACTGAAAACAGCAAAAACTATCTCATTGCTGTTGTTTCCCAATGCAAATTTATGCAGTTTTTGTTTAAAGAATTTTTTGTTGCCAGTTGAGTTAAATCTAATTTATGCAAAATTCAAAAACTGCCAACCGCTGGCAAAGCTCTCAAAGCTTTTCGGTGGCTTTTAGTTTTCAACACCACTCGAGCAGTCGGCGGGAGAGAGGGAGTGCTGCGGATGGTAATAAGTGGGCGGAAGGTGGGTGTATCTACTTTAGTTTTGGGGCTGACTTTAATGACCCAAGCCAAGGAAATTTATGAGCGCTAAAACTGAAATTCAATTTGTTCTTTTTTTGTTCGCTGTTGACCGTGAAAGCCGCGATGCGAGCTAAATAATTTATACCGAGTTAAAAGAAGCCTAAGCGAAGGCGGTGAATATTTGGTACGTGTATACAAAAGAGTTCAATTTTTGTGTCTGAAATGTTTTTTGAATGACTCCAGCCTGGGGGTCAAAAGAAGATGTTCCTTTGATTTGCCTGGTTTGACTGGTGCCTAAACGGTTAAATAAATTAAAATAAACGCATATGTACCTGCTCGACTTTAGGATTGTTTTTCTGTATTTGCTGAAGGGACGTTTGCAAATGGAAATTTCGTGTAAAAATTCAGATACAATTTGATACAACTATTTAAATGAAACTTGAACGTGTTCGTATATATTTTACCCAAAAACAGCGACCCACTCTTCACTGCATAATTGTAATTACGTCGTCGACGCCGACGGCAAACCCGGAAAAAAAACTAAGAAAATGAGAAGGGACGTGTGAGACGCTTCATACGCGTCACAACTTTTATACCCTGCACTCAGTACTACATCTGCACCTTAGCGGTGTTATGTCAAATTTTACATTTTTTCTTCATCTGTCATCTACATCTACAACACTTCAACACACACCAACACGCTCCTTTAGCTCGCCGCCCTTCGGGGTGGGTTAAAAGTTGTCAGAGGCGTCGGCAGGGGGAGAGCAGAGGCTGGGGCCGAGTGAAGCAGAAGCAGAGTGTGAGGCGTGGCTCATTTTTGAAATACACGGGTTTCAGTGTGAGAACGAGCCGACAAACAATACGGACGGACGGACAGACAGGCATGGCTCTATCGACTCGTCTATTGATCAAGAATATACTTTATGGGGTCGGAAACGCTTCCTTCTGTGCGTTACATACAACCGTTATTTACACAAATACAATATATCCTATTTACTCTTCGAGTACCGGGTATAAAAAATCCCAGCTAACGCTAGTTGACATTTGTCATCGATGATTTCTGGTACTACAGGGTAGGGCTGAGACCTGCTTTAAAGAAATTAAAATAAACGCATACACAGTGGCAAGGGGTTTCCTCGTCGAAGCGATTTTTTCTTGTTACCCTCATTCGCTGCCCCACTTCTTTGCATTTCCATGTCTGATTACGCGCCCACTCAGCCAGGCCAAGGCGGTCTTTTGTCTACGGCAGAGACATGCCCTAGCAATGATTTTGCTGGATCGTTATTTTACTCGAACAAAACTATCCGCTAGAAACTGTCGGGTTTTTTTGGAAAATGGAGCTGGGCATACTCAGTCGCATCGCATATGTGTGCTTGAGTTTGGGTTGTTAGCCTTGTATTAATGTCGCGAGTGTTAATGTTACCACGACTAGACCTTTGAATTATTCATAGATGCAGAAACGCACTTTTCAGGCTGAGACTCTCTATCGCCCTCGCGCTCCCTGTCTCCCACTGAGCCGAAAATGTATTTATTTGGAAATCGTTTTTCTCCTGTGAAATTATGGTAAGCCAGCTTTCAACTAATTTCCACCTACGCATGGTTGTCTCTCCCTTCTCAACCCATTTCAATGCCTTAATTTACATACCTATACACATCTAAGAAAAAAGTGCTGGTATTCGTAAAGGATCGGAAGGGGCTGTCGTCGTTGTCACAGGGTGCCAGTGAGTCACTTCACTTTGTAACTCGTTTTGTCAACAGACAGAGAGAAAAGCTGTGAAATTGAATTGAATTGTTTATATATGCCAAGCTGCAAAACAAGCAACAAAAGTGGAGTTCCTACCCATCGTTTTCCCCATCCACTTCCCCCTCCCTGCCACTTGCTGTCTAGCAATTTGTTGTGCCACGTATGAGAGGCGTGGGGGAATCTGTGGAGGGGTTTCGTAGGTGTGACCAACTACAATTGAAACGAAATAAGCTGAAAATGTTTCGAAAACATTTGGAAGCTCCAGCAGAGGCCCGACACGCCTACAAGCTACGCTTCAGTGGGTGGGCAGGGAAGAGAGACGTCTGTGGGTGAAGTTTCCTCAAGTCGGGAAATAACGTTTGTAGACTTTGTTTGTGCCACACCCACACATGAAATTTGAGAGCAAATTCAAGTTTCACTTGAAGATGAAAATAAAGAAAAGTCTTTCCCGGAAATCATTGGCATTGGATATACAAATGTACATACCAAACAGATCCTGCCAAATGCTATAAAGAAAATTAAATCAGTTATTGTTCCCATCGTCATTGTCTCAGTTAAAGCTAGGACCCCTTCCAGCTAAGGAAATTTTTGGCCATATTCATTAAGGCCAAGCCTGAAGAAGAAGCAAGCAAAAACTTGCGAAAGAAATGAGACCCCTCTCGAGAGTAAATGCCACAACCATCACAATCAGCTAATGTGTAGTGGCTAATGACCAGAAGGCAGGGCTGCAAAGATCCTTAATAGGTCTAAAGAATCCTTCTCTCTCCCCAGAGCCTAATGCGATTTTAAGAGAATCTCAGAGAACCTCGGGTTAATTAAGGCAAACATAATTAAATCTAAATTTGTATTTAATATGCTGCATTCTTTTTATTCTCCCAGGTGCTCACCTTCCTGATCGACTCGTCGCGCTTTCGCTACCCCGAGCGGGCCATCGTCTTCCTTGCCGTCTGCTATCTTGTCGTCGGCTGCGCCTACGTGGCCGGCCTGGGAGCAGGCGACTCCGTGTCGTGCCGCGAGCCATTTCCTCCGCCAGTGAAGCTCGGCCGTCTGCAGATGATGTCCACCATAACACAGGTAAGCGGAGGCAAGACCCATTTGTTATTCCGAGAGAAGAGGGAATCAATTTTGATCATTATTGATGTATTCATAAATGCATATGTACATCCGTTGGAATATTCAGATTTAATCAAATTTCATTGTCAATTCTTGTGAAACCACAAAAGATGGGAATACATCTATAGATGACACCATTATATATTAACAAAATTTATTAGCTATTGAAATAATCCATAAAACTTCAAAGAATGATATGATATCTACATATGTATGCATAACATCTTGAATACTTTGATCAAGATTCAATTGTGTAACATCATGCGCATTGCAATATTCTGACCACCATATGAGCAACATAACTGTATGTTTTGTATGTTTTTTTGCAGGGCCATCGTCAGACAACCGCCTGCACCGTATTATTCATGGCATTGTATTTCTGTTGCATGGCCGCCTTCGCGTGGTGGTCGTGTCTCGCGTTCGCCTGGTTCCTGGCCGCCGGCCTCAAATGGGGCCACGAGGCAATTGAAAATAAATCGCATTTGTTCCATTTGGTTGCCTGGGCGGTGCCCGCACTGCAGACCATCTCCGTCCTGGCCCTGGCTAAAGTTGAAGGTAAGACCATCCACAAAAAAATATTATTATTGATTTACTAACACAGCGACCTTGAACCTGTGGGGCATTCATCCATTATACACATAAATCTCTATCTGTAACACACTCCCAAATAGACCCCCACCATTTCGTCAGTCTGGAGGCAATTTCATCGTGTAAGGCGAAACCGTCATTAGGCATCATTTGTGGCATTAGCTGTCTCTGTATCTCTTTCTCGTGGCCGAAGTTCAGCCACCTCCTAGGACCGGATGAGGGGAAAACTTGAAGAAAACCCTAAAAAATAAGCGATGAAATAGGCCCAACGGTGGGCTCTGTGGGACACTGACGAGACTTAAATGCGAATGTACATTGTACATGACGAAAATTTGTTGAGTTAATTCGGAATTAATTATGTGGGTTAGATCTATTGAAATTTGAATGTTTTTGTTGCATATAGAAAACACAATTGAAAATTCACTAATCTTGAAATTCTCCCAAGGAAATACATGTCCCAAGCGGAGATTTTTAAAATACTGAAAAAGAATACTATTAAAGGACCAGTTGAAATATGTTGACTGCTAGAAACCGTTCCTGTCCCACTGTACGGTACAGAGTGCGTGTGCCGTCCGTTTCATAGTCAATTTTGTGGTTCATTTGAAATTGTGGCCTCAGCATGGGTTGGGTATTTGGTTCTGCCTGGATACTGAGATAATTTCGAGAGGAGCTGGGGCGAGCTGGGTTTACGGCTGCGATTTCTAAACAATTTAATGACCTACGTGGTCGAAAGCAGACACAAAATAAATCTTGTCGGCCACCAAAAATGCCAGGCTAAAATGTTCACGTTAAACTGCCGTAAAAATTTGTGGACTTTTGATGAGTTGGAGCTCAGGTTATTTTCGGGTAGTTCTTGGGTGAAGTCAAAGAACAAGACTAAAACTAATTCGCCTAACGCGGTCTCTCTAATCCTCTCTTCTTGACAACACAAGAATAGAATTCGAGTTTTTCGGCCATTCTTTTGGCTTATTTTACATTTTCTGGCTTAATTAGATTGCGGCTTAATGACTCAATTGTGTTTGGTATTATGGAGCTCTCGAATTTCTGAGCCTAATAGCCATCTCCTTTTAACACACAACATCCACTCCCACGCTCCTCTTTCTCCTCGACTTTCTCTGTCTTTCCCTATTCCCGACAATATCCAATATGCCCAGACGGCAGTAATTAAATACAGCAGCACATGATTATGGCTTGTTAGACAAATCGAATGAAAGTCATAGACTATTTGGTTGTGGGTTGTGGTGCTAAGGGGGGAGGAGTGCACTTGTAGCCAAACATTAGCTAGGCCTCCTTAATGGACAGTTAGGTAATTTCGATTCAGACGGGAGAGACAGGGAACGGAACGAGTAGGAGTTCCAGTGCGAGGTTGGTTTGGTCTTAACACTGGATTATTGCTACATTTGGAGGCCAATCGTGGTGGAAATTATTTGGCTTAGGCAACGCTTTGTGAAATGAGGATTTCGTATGAAAAGTCAATCAATGTGAAGGGGAAATCCCATCAGAGAATTTGATGGATGAAAGTAAGAATTCAACCACGAAATGTCCTCCTATAAATGGATGATGAAAGGAAGGAAGTAGAGGAAAAGTAAAGTTTTAAAGTATTATATGGATACATTTTCCTAAAGAATATTGCCGAATAGTATTCCAATATCACTCGACGAATGTGCATTAAGAAAAACATTGTAATTTATTCTTTCTCTCCCTCTTGGAACCCACAGACCGTACATCTCTCATTTTCCGGTATTTTAAGAAACAATTTCAATATCGGAGTTCCCTTCTCTACACCTACATAATTGTTTTTCGATGAAAAATGTTTCAATAGCTTGACAAATATAATCGAAAATGTTCACTCTAGCAAAAGACAGGCCCAGCCAGAAACCCGCTAATGCATGCAAAATGCCAAGAGCCATAAAAAGCATATTTCCCCCCATCGCATCTTATATAAAAACATTAACATCCGAGAGCCAAAGGCAAACACGATTTATGGTGGGAATCTACCGAAAAAAAGACGACTTAATGCACTTCAAAAGACTAACGGGTGGGTCTGGGGTCTGCCTGGCACTCCTTGTGATGGTTCGCCGAGAAAACGGAAAATGGAGAGGAGAGCCCATTCAGCATCCATTCAGCGACAATTAATGTTAAATTTAAAAATACATTATTTTAATGTGTCGTCGGCGAGAGAGGGAGATGCCAGCAAAGACAGTTGTTACTGCTGTTGGTCGTTGATGATGGAGAAACGGAAAGAGCAGCTACAGTGCTTTAGGTAAACAGAAACATGGCAGAGAGGCAGAACACAGACTGAGGCAGTGGCAGACGCTTCAGGCTCGAAGCTTTTGCCGTCGGCTACGTGCATTGAATTTGTAATTTGCGCACGTTCGTTGCAAACATTGAATAATGCTCACAGATATACCCTTACCTACCTTCCCATCTCTTCCCGGCGCCCGACACTTCTAGAAAAGTGAATAACAGACAGAGAGAGAGGGAGAGAGAAAAAGTACCAAAAGGGAAGCGAAAAATTTGTATTGACTGCGCAGCGCGTTGGCAGCTCATTTGATGGATTTCCCTTTTAAGATAGTATAGACTGGGAAGTGGAAGTGAGCAGCACAGAGAGAGCCAAGGCTTATGAATCACCTGCATGAATGTCCAGCTGAGGACACTTGCTCCCTTCTGACACTTGTTTTGTGTGTGGCATAGAAAGCTAACTAAATTGGCTAACCGTTTCATTCACACACTCGCACATTGTTAATACGTACATACATAGCCATACATATGTATATGTACATACTTGTGTGCACATTTTTGTTACTTGTCTATAATTTATTACCATTTATATTTGACTGCTGCTCAAAAATGATTTAAATTTGTAAAACGAAGAAATATGCAAATTAACGGTGGCAGAAACAGTGGAGGCAAGAAGGCAGAGCAAAAGAAAATTAGCAATTTGTTGCGCTTTAGCAAAATTATATGCCTTGCCAGGCAGTTCAGTCAAAGAGAGAGTTATCTTCTTTACTTGTCAAGTTATTAAAGAGCAACCCGTAGAAGGGAGTGGGAGTGGTGAGGATGTCATGAAATTAACATAATTTATCCAAGGCAGAGAGCAGAGCAAAGCAGAGCTTGACGACAAGACATGGGAGGGAGACAACTTACAGCGAAAGGAAGAGCGATAGCAATTGAGAGCAACGAATCTCATTGAATGGCATAAAAATGCTACCGTATGAATGATTTATAAAATGTAATGCAGGAAGCGGACAGTTGCAGTAGAGTTGCAGTCTGCTGAAGGCTTTTGGTCAGCCAAAAAGGGAAGTCCGCTTCAAATTGTATGCTAGTGCGAGAGTAAATTCAGTTCAAAGATCGCTTCACAAAAGCCTTCGCTTTGCGATGTTCTTGAAACTCGCTTTCTTGCGTTCTCTTCTTCTCTCTCTGTACTTCTCTCTCGCTGTGGCTGCATAATCAAATAATGCGCTTTGCCATTGCTATGGCAAACTTTGGCCAAACATAGCAGCCCCCCACACAGGGCAAAGCGAAACGAAACGAAACGAAATGAAATGAGAGTTAGAATGTTGATGATGAGCCGAAGAAAGAGCAGAGCATGTTCGGGGAATGGCAATCGCATGCGAGTCACATACAGCAGCTGACGATGCGACACTTGGACAGAAGACCGCTCTGCTTGCAAGGAATTCAAAAGCAAGCTCTCGACCACGAAAGAGTCGACAGAATCAACACCCAGCTTTTTAGCATCAATTGCATATAGATCTTATTCCTAACCAATAAGTGACTGTGATTGGAATACTCTATGCTGAAACTAAACAATTTGTGTGTTATAATTGCACACTTTCTTGAAATTGTAGTGCGCCTCAACTACCCTCATTTGATGAAATGTTCAATTCCTTAAAACGAAGACACAATGCAGTTGGACAAGCTATCAGCAGCAGCAACTGCAGCAACAACGACATAGCATCACGAACAATGTGCGTTGAATGGCATGTGGCAAAAGTTATGGAGACTTTGGCGCGTAAAACCGGTAGCTAAAATGGCTGCCAATGACGTTGGAGCAGGGGAGAGGGTTGGGGGAAACAACAGCAAAAAGCGTGAAACGTGTGCGTGAGCAACAGCAGCAACTGATACGCAGTTTGAGATACCGCGATGTTGTTGCTACATGGGGGTACATGAATACAAGTTGCTATTCGCTTGAGGCTGCCTGTTGGTATGACTACTCTGGAATGAGTGAAACTAAAACCAGTGTTGGCGTGAAAAGTGATGTAGATGTAGATGACATATGTAGAAAAAATTTAAAATGTAAAATGTGAATAAAACCACTAAGGTACAGATGTACTTATGAGTACCAGGTATAAAAGTTGTGACTCGTCAGAGGCGTCTCACACGTCCCTTCTCGTTTTCGTATTGTCTTTGGTGAAACTTTGTAGTGTCGAGAGGGGGTCAATGATAAAATATATTTTTCAAGTTGCATTTTTGATTTCATTTTCAACTGGAGAGTATGTACATAGTATGTACATCCTGGAAAACCTCGTCATGTATGCATCTTAATACTAAAATATACGGATTTTCGTGTCCTGTAGGGTATTTTTTCATCGACTATGTGGCCATTCCACGCATCAAGAAAGCCCTTAGCTCTCTTACGAGTGCTCTTGTACGCGTTTTATTTGTAAGGCTTCTGTTTCTGATGTTGTTTTCCTTGCTGATTATTTGTTTGATTTCATTTTAATATTTAGTTTATGTCCCAGCCCTGATCCGCTGTCGAGTCATCTGTGACTGCCGGGGGTTGAGGCACTACGTGCTCCATTTGTCTAATGTTGTTTTTATGAGTTTTTATTCTCCTCGCCACCATAATTTGATTGTCATGACTGATGCTTCTCTTTTATGGATGTTGCTATTGGATAATTATCCTACCTAGTCTTTGCTGGACTTAGCCTATGATAATACATAAATTATCTTCTATTTAGTGTAAC